GTTACTAAAATTAAAACTAACATAAAAAATAACCTAAATAATCTAAGAAAACCCAACCCACACTCCCACTCCCTCACGTTTTCCTCCATAGTCCACACCCCACACGATACATCCCCCTCCCTCCACTCCTATTTACATGCACACTACAACAACAAAATAGGACCCACCTAGGAAAATATATCCTATATATAGAGCACATAGGCAAAAAAGGAAAAACACACAGACGGAGACAGACACTAAACTTGAAAAATAATATATACATCGTATTTCTACACATTAAAGATCTGGAAATTTATTCTTCGCAGTTTCAAGTTCGTGGCTCCTTATTATTGGTCCTTTCTTCTCGTGCACTAGTTTTCATAAGAGGTAACATTTATTTATATTCTATTTTTGTATAATTTTAGGTCATACTTGTGCAAGAATTGAATCCCATATATTGAAGTTGATCAGATTTTATATTTGTATAACCCGATAATATTATTAATGCTATAATATTGACATATATTTGAATATTTATATTGTTTAATTTAGACCGAATAAAACATAGTATAACATATAGTTGCTTTTGCTTGGTTAGAATCCAATATTTTTCTTTATTCGTTCTACCTTATTAAGCCAAGACATGACTCATGAATTCCCATGAATTGAATTGCTTAATTAATATATACTTGTATTATTCGTATGAGCATAACTCAAAAATTGATTAAGTAAATCATCCTTCATTAGCAAAAATGCACTTATTGATAGCATTTATTTTTGTCATCTAAAAATAAAGGTTCATATTATTTTACATGACATGAATATAATGCTAGTTTAAATTTTATAAATTTTGGAGACAATATTTTATTTTGGTTTTTACTTTTATTTTTTTTCTCTAAAAAAAGGGGCCTTTTATGGGTTTATTAGTTATGATATTACAAAAGAAAAAAAAAAGAGGCTCTCACACACACACACAAATGTACAGTAAAAATAAAAAAATAAAAAAAATTTACACAAAAAAAAGAGAAAAGTAACCAAAAGACAATATAGACTACACACAAATACACACACTATACGACAACACATACACTCAGGCAACAAAAAACAATCTGCAAACAGATTCAAGAAAATTACCCTTGCATTATTTTATTTTTGTTTTCTCCACCCACAAACAAATCTTGATTCGAGGTTTTCGTTCTTGGTTTTGAGTTCGTGGTTTTTATTAGGATTATTTTATTTCCGTGAATAATTTTCACAGTAAGTAACACACAATTTACTTTAATTTGGTATAATTTTATTTCATAATTATATAAGACTTGATTCCAATGTTATGAAATTGCTTAAATTTTAGGTGTGTTTAATTTTAGTATTATAATGTTGAAATACAATTGTTTGAATCTTACATATCACTAAACAATGAAAACCTTTAGAATGTTGAAACTATTCAGTATTTAACGAAATAATTTAAATGTAGTACATTTGACAACTATTATAAGAATAACTCATTATGTACTAGAAAATTATTATGTTTTTAGTTTTTGTTAGTTCATGTAACAATAATAATTAAATTTCATCTCATTTAAGAATGTGGTTCCACATCTTTTTGAGATGCTTAAGAAACTCAAGGATGCGGTTACGCACCTTGGCCAATTTATTTTAATAATTAACTTTCATTAATTTAAATCAAGAGGTGTAAATAGGTATTATTAGGTGTGAGGTACTCGACAAAAAGAAGACAATTATGTCTCTAAATGTCAAGACCAAGAATGCGGTATTCTTTCATAATTTAGAGACATAATGGTCTGTAGATCTTTCATTATTGCTCATCCTTTAATTTATCATGTCCTGATTAGAGAATACACAATAAATCCAATTTGAAATTAGCTTATTCACTTGTATTTTAATTTTTTATTGTTTCCCGATTTAAAAATTAAAGAAGTAATTTTATGATTTCCTTGGAAGAATCATCATCCAATTGTGTACCATCCGCATTTTTTTTAATGAGTTAATAAGAATTTTTTTGCTCGTGTAGGTTCTATCCACTTTTTACGCTAACCAATAGAACTGATGTCAGATATGCGTTACAAAAAGATTTGAAAATACAATAGTTTCACATGTTTACCTTCTCATGCATCGATGTAGCAATAATTTTGGATCCTCCTATGTGAGGCATCTTTTCACTGGCCTTATTATTTCTATTTGCTTGGGTACGCCTCCGTCGTCGAAATACTTTAATAATATCTTACAAATTATAAAAAAAAATGTAGCATAACTAAAATCAAAACATAGTAATAACAAGAAAGTATGTCTGTTTGTTTATACTTTCACTTTATCAGAAAGCCAATAAGAGACTAGACCACTCCATTGATCTCTCGGTATGCAACTTGGTCTATTTTTCAGCAAAGCGTCTTTAGTCTTATATTTTGACATATACTCACCTTTAATTTCACACTTGTAGTTTTTCCATTTCTTTTCTTGTGACTTTAAAACAAACGCTTCTCCACGTTTTTGAAAAGAGAACTTCTTCTGCAGAATAAAAGTCAATATATAAAAGGCACTACCATGTACAAATTAAGGTTGTTCACATAATAATAATACTAACTCATACCCTTACAAAATCCACCAATTTCTTCTCTTGCTTGCTGTCAAAATTTCTCCAATCATCTATATGTAGAGGTGTTAATTCTGGAGTTCTCACAACAATTTCTAGAAAGCTAGTAAGCTTTCGACCCTCTTTCCCAATAGACTGGTTACGACTATTATATGGCACATCAATTAACTTTCCCGGAGGAAGTTTCCAAACATCTTTTAGTAAAGTAGGACCACGAGGCTTTCTTGTCGCTAAGTTATCTAGAATGAATAAAGATACGAAAGTCATCAGATGGAAAAATACATATGGTAATCATAAACTGCGATCATTTGGTAAAACTTTATTATTCTTTAGAGCTATCTGATCACATTCAAATGCCTCAAGAGGAAAGTTGGATGGTGAGGAAAATCTTGGGTGCAAGGCTGAACTATCTCGTATGCAGACAAGTACATTAGCAAGTAGAAATGTCATTAAACATATTTATCTAGGTATGTTGGGGGCTCAACCTAAAGTCTCGTGGAGGACATATTGATGTTTCATAATGTAGCTAGACCTAAAGCCACTTTCTCGCTCTCTAGCTAGGTATCTAGGTATGTTGGGGGCACTGCAGATATTTAAGATATTCATTCTCCTGTAGTAAGATAGTTACAAACTAGAAAAGCTTGTTTATGTCATAGAAAGATGTAGTAGGTTATGTTGACGTGGGGTATTGTAAGCGATACTTTTGTATTCCTTAGAGTTATCTGATCACATATACCCCTGTTGTCTCTCCTAAATTGAGCAGGTAATATTACTACACACACCTAGTAGAAAGGAAAATAGAAAAGATAAAAGAAGAGAACACAGTCGATGTTCTCGACATAATAACAAAACTTGTATCTAGTTGAATAGTTGACGCCTATATAATGTAGTAGCTAGCAATTGTTAAATGAAGTTAGAACAATATTTCGAGTTCCAAGTTGCTTATTTCACAATTATGTTAATTGATACATTTCTTATATATTCTCGGTTTTTTCTTCTAAAACGAGCAGGAATAAAACTACACTATGTCTGCTTGTTTTCTCTCCTAAAACAAGCAGGTAATAAACAATGGGCGTAATTTAGCATTATCGTTTGTAAGCATTATCATCCACTAAGAGATCATCCTGATTTCCATGTCTCTTCAGATTTTTTTATTTCACAACTACTACATTTTTCACCATCGTAAGTATCTCATAGCTAATCATACAAGATTGCCAGATTGTTAAATATGTGATAGAAGAGTCATAAAAAGAGCATGTAATAAAACTAACAGAACTAAAATAAAGGAAACTAGAAAAGATAAAAGAAGAGAATACAGCCGATGTTATAGACATAATAAAAAAACTTGTATCCAGTCGAATAGGTGACTCCTATGTGATGTAGTAGCTAGCGACTATTTAATGGAGTAAGAACAATATTTCGAGTTCCAAGTTGCTTATTTCACAGTTATGTTAACTGATACTTTTCTTATATATTCTCTGTTTTCTCTCCTAAAACGAGCAAGTAAGAAAACTACACTATGTTTGCTTGTTTTCTCTCCTAAAATGAGCAGGTAATAAACAGTGGAAGTAATCTAGCATTGTCGTTTGTAAGCATTATCATCCGCTAGGTAGTCATCCAGATTTCCATGTCTCTTCAAATTTTCTTATTTTATTACTACTACATTTTTCACCATCGTAAATATCTCATAGCTAATCTTACAAGATTGTCAGATTGTTCAATATGTGATAGAAGAGTCATAAAACAAGCAAGTAATTAAACTACACACAACTAAAAGAAAGTAAAATATAAAAGATAAAAGAAGTGAACATACAGTCGATGCTCTCGACAAAACAACTAAACTTGTTTCTAATAAAAGTAGTTTGTTCTCCATATGTTGCATACTAAGCTCTAAGAAACAGTTTTTAGATCCTAAATATTGTTTTCTGGTATGGTGAATATTATTAACAGTTGGAGTAAAACCTATACAAGTCGTATAACAAAAAGAAGAGAACCTACAACTAAGAAGGTCTCTCTAGAAAAGGAACCTAATCTTCTGTATAAATGGGGATGGGGGACCTCATAGGCACTCCAAAAAGGAACTAGAAACAAAATACTACTTTGTGATTTTGCTAAATCTTTTTCAACCACTTCAAATGCCCTCCTATTTTTCTCTTTACTTAAGCTTATACATTGATGATTGCATCAACTTTGTTTACAGTATGGTGGTGATGAGATCTGAATTTTCTTTCTAACTTTTTTACGATATGTTATTATTAAAGATTTTGTTTCTTGAGCAGTTATATCACAATTCAAGGGGCATACAAGTCCAATATCTGCTCTATTTTTGACCCTAGTGGAACTCTTCTTGTTACTACCTCTACTCGTGGGAGTAATACAAATCCATTTCGTATTGTATCTTCTTGCTCAAATGGAGCAGGAAACCAAAGACATGACTGACCAAGGTTGAGTGCTTAATGGGAGATTCATAAAAAAATTGAAATTGTCAATGTCAAAGACATAACTGGCCGAGGTTGCCTACTGTATCTTATTCGTACTCGAATACAGGATCAAGTTTCTCTGAGGTGTGCCTTGCTGATGGCATGGTGAGAGATAGAGACAAGGTGTTCGATAAAAGTGAGACCATTGAAATAAAAGAAGAGCATGTGGCTTGTAGTTATGATACGTGGGACATCGAACAAGAGGACCTAGGCAACTTGTGTTTGGATGATGAGATGTTTGATGTAAATGAGTTGTTAGTAATGATATATTCGACTCCACTAGATGCCTCGGCTCCAGGTCAAGATGTTTGCTATGTTTCTCCTAAACAAGAGCAGTATGCCTATTATCCTTCGTATCAATTGCAGAATGCTACCTATGATCAGTTCTCAAATCCATCATACCAGTTGGAAAATGCAGATGATCAGTTCTCAAATCCATCATATCAGTTGGACAATGCAGATGGCAACACGGTGGAAGGTTTGCAGCAAATGGAGCAGCAAGTACCTATAGAGATTTATTACGATCTTGATTTTCTGAGACCAGGTGGGCAGGAGGATTTCAACTTCTGCTTGGATGACTTAGGTGTCTTGGATTTCTAATGGAATTGGGGAATTTATCGTAGTGAATCTGGTAGAAGTTCCGCGGGGAGCAAAACTGGACGGAAGACTTCTAGGAATAGGATATTGTTTGGTATGTTGCATAATTTATTCAATGATTAGAATCTCTTCAAATTGTTAGTAGTTCAAGAGGACTATTTTGGATTTCGACAAGAACAATAATACATAGGATACAGGAGATATGTTCTTTGCTTATTTTTTCTCCTTTTGCTTTTAAGGAAATATGGATGAGCGAATTTAGCTGTTGTTGAATCAAAACAAACATACATCTGTACAATTTATGAGGTTTTTGAATTAAGTTTTTGCTGTTCTGATATTTGCTGGCACTAGTTTGTGTGTATAGTATATGTTTGATCTTTGATGTAGGATTACCATACAACCAGATCCTATATGAGATTGTAAATAACAAACATTGACCAAATTCTAGTAAACATTGTGACCAAGAACCTAAAGTTATAACTGTTATACCCCATTTTAACTCGAGGTTCAAACGATGTACAACATATTGGTGAATCTTAATGTTATTTTAAAGAGTCGCCACCTAATTAGGTTAAAGGTGAATTAGGACACCTATTTTGCTAAAGTTATGCTAAATAAACTCTATATTAAAGTCTACTTAACCTTATGCAATTCTAGGTAAGGGTTCTAATTTATCCTAAAGAGAAGGGGCAAGGCATCCTTTAAGATCCGTTAAAAACGGTTAACCGTCCAAACTTAGGTTAATTAATTTTTAAAAAAAGATATGAGTTCTAAAGATTAAGTAATTGAGTAACTAATTTTTTACTTTAAAAAGCTCTTTTGCAATTAGATTAGAATAAAAAAGATTTTTTTTTTTAAAAAAGAGAGTAATTTGTTTAGATTATTAATGTAGACAAATCCATGGCTAAAAATGATAATTAAAAAAAAACATTTGCTCGTTGACTAACAAGGTGCTCCCTTTAGAAAAAGTTTTAGAAAAATAAGAGTTTAGAACAAATATATATATATATATTTTTATTTTTTTTGAAAGACATTGCTAAGTGTGAACAAAGCTTAATAAATTAGTCAGTTTAAAATGGTGCAAAAAGAAGTGTTTTTAAAAAATGTTTGCCAAATGAAGTTCGTAAAAGCTAAAGTAACTAATAAGGTTTGTTTCTAACTAAAGGAACCCAAATCCAAACATCTATATTAAGTCAACTATCATGAATCAAAACTAGAAATATCTAAATCACACAAGCAAGATAGGACCACTTGTTTTGCTTGCAATTTCGAATGGTCAAAGATATAGTGAAGACTCCATGTGCGAGTGCGAGGATAATGTTGAGTCTATGAGACTCGATAATTGGTAGAGTCCTAATCGAAACTCCGTTTTTCCTCCCAAAGTGTACATGTACAACAATAAGAGAAATAAAAGGATTAGACATGCAGGTAACTAATAGGTGAAATAAATATACATTCCATTTATTCAAGTCCAACACAAGTACCTTAATAGTAAGTATGAAATAAATTGTAACACCCAACTAACTTATACATTCTTCTATAGGAAGAAAATAAAATTTCTTTAACTAATATTTACAAGTATGCTTACAGTGAATAAATATCTCAAAGCCTTTAAATTAAACCAATACCATTCTCATTAAAGGATAGCAATCATTACAACACATCACAACATATTAAACAAGAAAGAAAAGCCTCACATGGATACAATATATAAACAAATATATTTATTTAATGTCTAAGGCCTATTTAGTCAATTATAGAAAGGCTCTAGGTAATATTATTGAGTTCAATGTATAGCACATTTTGGTTCAAATATACAATGTAAGAAAGAAACTAAAGCTCGAGCTATATATAATATTTATAAAGTAGCATTCACAAGTCAAATTAGAACCAAATCTGAATCCAATAAGCAAGTTTTCTTTCCAAAATATATTTTAATACATACTGTTGAGAAAAAGAAGAAATTAAAAAATAAAATAAAATATAGCAATAAACTTTAGCACAAGGATTTTGCTTTTATCAATTTAAAATTCATCGGCGAGTTTAAGCATAAATAAGGCCACAGCTTCTAAATACCAAGATTACTAATAAATGCGGCGAGTTTGTATTCAATTTCTCTGCATATAAAACAAATAAATAGATATATCTATGACATGATTCTCAACACAACATAATAATCTTAAAACATAAAGAATAGCGAAAACATTATCGGTTTATCACATAGAGATACAAATAATATACCTAACTTGGAACCAAAAACAGATTACATATCACCAACCCCTTCCAAAACAAAATCATTCTTTAAATTAAAATGTGAAGGAGATATGAACTCAAATCTCTCCAGGCCTCAAACTAAATAAAAAAACATATTTTTTAAACATCACTTTCATGATAGCTAAAAATAAGTGAGTATTATACTTGACGCATTGTTTTGCTTACAATAGGCATAACATTTCCACGGCGACAATAATAGAAGTAAAAGTAAAGGGACGAAGATCTCCTGCTGCGGGGCAATGAACGGAGGCTTGCGGTCTCGATCTTAGATCTACTTACTAACTCTGATGACCACCGTTAATGGTCGAAACGAACACACAAACTATTGTTGCGACTGGAATGCCAAAGAAAATGGTAAAATACGAAAATAGAAGAGATGGTTTAGAGGAGAAATAACTAAAAAATTTAGAGGTGAGGGGTTGCTAGATCTTGAAAAATCCTCCCAAATAAGCTCTGAGATGTAAGTATTTATCGGGAAAAATTAGGGTTCTTCATTTGTGTTGAGTGGGTATAGAATTTTGAAATTTGAAAAATGGTCAAAAAGTCTTCAAATCCGAACGTTTGAAGCTTGAAAAGGGGAAAAAGACAGAAAGAAAGAGGAAGAGGCAGAGGTGTTTGTTGCTGCTAATGTGGGGTTTAAAAATGAGTTGGGCTGGTGCTAAATTTTCTTTTGTGGGCTGATTTGAAAGTTCCGTTGGGCCATGTTTTGTAGTGGATTTGGGCTAGTTTTGCTAGCCAATTTTGGGCTGAATTTGAAGGTCTTTTCTCTTCTTTCTTTGTATTATTTTGGGCTTCTAAATTAATAAAATATATATTATGATATGATAACAACTAGAAATTTACATTATTAAAATATCGCTAATATAAAATATATATATATATATATATATATATACGAAATATTAAATTATAATTAATTTAATAAATACGAAACTAGAAATAAGATGACGGCAATTGATTCTTTAAGAAAAGAGGTGTAAAAAGTGATAATAATCATTTCGATAATAAAAACCTATAATTTTAGTAGATAAATAGTCGTAATAGTAAAAATAGTTGTGAAAAGAGCTAATTCGATACATTATTAATTTAGAAGCTTGAAAATGATAAATTAGAAGTAAAGAGGGTAAAAATTGGGTGTCAACAATAACATGTTTATAGTTGAGAGATTTCGAAGAAAACTTTAACTGAGGAACCTACAGTTATAACATGTTTATTAATTGAGAGAGTTCGAAGAAAAATTTAACTGATGAATGAGAGATGCAGTAGAACAAGAAATATAAACATTGGCTTCAACATTACACTTTATAATTAACATAAAGATATATAGTAAAAAAAACCGATTGATTAACAGCCACATGCCTTAATTTATTAACTGCCAAGCGCCTTAATACATAAACAACCACACGCCATAATATATAAACAACCACTCCCCTTAACATAACAGCCACACACCTTAATGTATATTAACAAAGGAATTTCGATCTATTGCAATCAAAACAACAACAACAAGAGATCACAAACACAGAAAAATATACTTTTACGAATCTTAAATCACTTTAATATCACAATCAATGCCTAATAACTGATTAGTTTGTCAAGTGTATTTTCTGGTTTCTTCCCAATTAATTACTAAATATCGATTAATGAACTTGGTAGAAAACAAATTGCAGGGTTGAATTCTCAATGAAGATCTATAAATCAACAAAGATAATACAGAAAGGTTGAGGTACATAATTTAGAGAACGGTGAAAGTTTTTATTTTTAGAAAAAAGGAGACTTTTTTGCGGCATTGTTTCTAAATTCTACTAAAAATATGTTTATTGCTGGCCATTATCCATTAGCAATTGATATTTTACCTCACGTAAATATATTAGCGGCAATTAGCTAATTGCCGCTAAACAAATGTCGCTAAAGTTCACTTTTATAGTAGTGAAAGCAAAAGTCTAGACTTGTCTCAATAAGCCATCTATTACAATACTTGAGTCAAAATAGGATCACAGCTCAAAACAATATAATCCGGAAGTGAAAATACAAGAATGAAACTACTAAATGACAATATCCATCCTCGAACCATGAGGACTCACCAACTAGCAAGGAGAATGATCAATTCTAAGCTCTAGCCACAATGGGGACCACCTTGAGAACCGGACCCTATACTTGGAAAAATGTAGGAAAATATGGGTTAGTACAAAAATGCACTAAGTATGATAGCCATGCATGAAAACGTTGAAAACCTACTAAAAATGACATTTTAGTTGAATGAATGCAATTTACTATGTGAAAGCATCATTTTGAAGATACTGTAAAAGCATAAATCATAAGCATAATCAACTCATAGATCATCACATCATAAAAAGGAACATGCCATAGATACCCTCAAAGCCTACTTGTGCAATGAATGAGTGAGATCCCATAATCCCACCTATACTAAGTAAAGCTCCTTAAGTAACCATAGTCCATATTTCATATTCTTGTTCATATTATTGTTCTAGTGGGAATGAGCCTTAACCGACATAGACCATGTGAGCTAACATGGAATCCGGTGTCTACCCCACACCGAAAAGGGGTTGCTCTACTTTCCTAAGGTAGAACCATACTCTTAACTTAGGTGGATCCACTAGCTAAAGACCTATGTGGGTACATAGTTATGGGATAAGGAGATTGCTACTAGAAACCGGAACTAAACTAAGGTAGAAGGTTTCCACCTCATATTCATATCAACTCGGTGA